GTAGATAGCCACCCTCCACTTGCTTGATAAATTGGAAGAAATGTTTGAAAAGAAACAGCTGGACTGTAAGCACAGTTCACTGAAAACCCTTCCTATGGATATAAAATCCTCATTTGTTAGAGCCTACCTACCTTCAAAAGATAGTCATATAATGATATGACGCTTCCCCCATAGGACATACCTGCTTATACAAATGTATTCTTAAGGGGCAGATTTTATTTATTTAAATAGTCAGATTAAGAACATTTTAAATTCATGATAAATCATAAAAATATTTCTATCTGCTTTGCCTCTTTTTAGAGAAAAGTCACAAAATGCATTAGTTTCCTGAATATTTTCCTGAAGTGATCACAGAAGCATATTGTACCGCTTTCTAAGACAACGTGAGACAGCGTCTTTGCTCTGCATACTAAGAGATGGAAAATCATTTAGGAACAGTGTTCATGATCTTTAGGGAATGTTAAAGAGGGGCGTCATTGTTACAGGCAGCTGTGAGCCTCCTGATGCCATGCATGTTGAGAAACGAATGGGTCTTCTGGAAGAGCAGCCTGTGCTCCCAAACACAGCTATTTTTCCAGCCCACTACACAATATGTTTAAAAGAGATCCTTAAAGCTTGTTTTTCTGAAAAGGAACTGTTCTAATGTCATGGAAAGAACGGTGTTCAGAAATTGTTTACAGTGCACTGTAGCAGGTTGAGCTCCAAGAAGTTGGGTTTTATGTCACATGTTTTGAGCAGAGTTTTTATCATTACCTTGTAAAGATCTTTATTTTTATGAAGGTATTCAATTATAATCGAAATTAAGGAGTTTAGCTAACTGACTGTTCACACTGAAAGGAAGATTTATATCATGCTAGCTTTATAATAAATATCAATATAGGCCTTAGAATTACCTTCTCACTGTATCTACCTCCTCCTTACTCTCAATTTCTGTGCCATAGCTCCAGGATTGGTGGGTGATAGGGAAAGAAATCAGCTGTTTTGAATTTTTAAAAATTAGGTTAGTTAAGAAGTTTTTTAAACATTTATTTATTATTTGTGTGTGTGTGTGTGTGTGTGTGTGTGTGTGTTCTCAAGTAGTCAGTTCTTTCCTTCCATCATGTACTTTCCATGGATTGAACTCAAGCAGTCAAGTTTGACCTCACATGTCTTTAGCTGCTAAACCATCTTACTGGCACAACCAGAGAAATCTTGACCGAGATTTCCTAGCCTTTTCATATAGAGCAGATAAACCTTGCCTTGATTTTGTGGCTAAAAAATAACAAAGTGTTTAGTATTCTTCAGGTTTTTCTGTAGAAAATTTGTAGTAGGTTTTTGTAACGTATTTTGTCGGTGACTCTTGTCTCCCACCTGAGTCTGCTGAGTCTCAGTGCGTTTTTCTGTAGTAGAAGAAGGCCACTTGCTCATTTCTCAGTCACCCAGACTCCCAGAATAATCACACAGAAACTATATTATTTAAATCACTGCTTGGCCAATTCGCTCTGGCTTCTTATTTGCTAACTCTTACATCTTAATTTAACCCATCTCCATTAGTCTGTGTATCTCCACGAGGCTGTGGCTTACTGGGTAAAGTTCCAGCATCTGTCTCCAGCAGGGCTACATGGCTTCTCTAAACTCTACCTTCCTTCTCCCAGCATTCAGTTTAGTTTTCCCCGCCTAGCTCTGTTCTGCCCTGCTCTGCTATAGGCTCAAGATAATTTCTTTATTAACCAATGGTATTCACAGCATACAGAGGGGAATCCCACATCATTTTTCAGATTATTTCTGGGGCTAACCTAGAATGTGGGCTCTCAGAAAGCGTCTTTCCTTTGCCTTTCAGCTTTGGCATGGTTCATGATGGCGAAGGCAACCCTTGCAGGAAGGCGGAAGGCAACATCATGTCACCCACACTGACTGGAAACAACGGGGTGTTTTCATGGTCTTCCTGCAGCCGACAGTATCTCAAGAAATTCCTCAGGTAAAATGGATAAAATCCTGGTGATTGTGCCCCATTATGTAGCAGTGTTAAGTAGGTTTGAAAACAAATATTCAAGCCAGGCCTGGTGGAATGGGCTAGTCATTGTGACTATTTGGGAGGCAGAGACAGAATGACTGAAAGGTCATGGTCTACCTGGGCTACAGAGTAAGTTCAGGGCCGGCCTGAGAAATAAAAAGTAGAAAGGAAGCCTACCGATATTGCTTGCCAGCAGAGTACCTGCCTAGCATGCATGAAACACCAGCTTTAACCTCTAGTACCACAAAATCAAATGAACCGAACAGGAGATAACATTCCTACTATGATGCCATTGGTAGCTTTAATGATATAATTATTGTTGAAAATCTACTGAAGATTTATTACAGTGCCAGATTCCCTTCACATACTACCTCACTAGGCTGGCAAGATGACCGCATAGGTAAAGGCACCTGCTGTCAGCCATAACTGCATGAACTCCAGTCCAGGGACCCACCCCCCAGAGGACACTGACTCTGCAAGTTGTCCTCTGAAGTACACATCCACATTGTAGCATCCTAGTGACTGCATACGTGCACTTGCACACACACAGGCACACACAAATAAAATGTAACCTGAATATATGTAAATAATATATTATTTATATTAAAGTATATAGGAGAAAGTATATATATATACTATACTATATATATGTATACTATATATATAGGATATATATATATCCTATTTCTATCTCCAGTCTAGATTTGTAGTTGGGTCTTTGAGAGGTCAGCTACGCATAAAGTATAACAGTTGTGAAGCTGTAGGTGTAAGATTCACACTTAGATCCATTCTGATGCCAAGGTCTAAAATTTGTAAGTTATCCCCATTTTCACTTCTAAGACTCCTAGATGTATAGCCTTTTTACTGTGAGTAATTATTTTAATCTAACCCACCAGCTTGCAGAGCTTAGGAGAGCCCAGTGTTTGGTTTAAATTTTAAGGATGAATCCAGGGCTGGAGAGATGGCTCAGTAATTAAGAATGACCGTTGCTGTAGCGGAGGACCTGAATTTGGTTTTCTGCAGCCATGTTGGGTGGCTCACAAATACCCGTTGCTCCAGCTCTAGGGGACCTGACATCCTTTTCTGACCTGTGCAAGTACCTATTAACAGAGACACATACGTTTAAGTAAAAAATAATAATAAATCTTTAAAAAACAAACTCTGTGCTTAACGGCATGCATGTATCTATATCTTTTTAGTCCATGTTGACTCACACATGGACACTTGGGTTCTTATTGTTCCCTTTGACCAGATATTAGTGAACGTTTCATTGCAAATAGATGTTCCTAATATGTTCATACCTTTGCTACAGTATATTAGTTGGAAATGTTCACAGAATTATCCACAATAATCAACAAGGAAGATTAAATGTGAGCACATAAAGCTGACTGATGCCTAAAGTATAGTAAAAAGAAACTGATAGACGTTTGCTAATTTATCATAAGCCATGCCCCCCATATATTTTTATATTAATTTTAGATCCAGTGTTTAGGGTTGACAATGTCTTTTCTACTTCATGTAAGGATGAAATCAATACATTTTATCAGTCGAGGTTCACTCCATGTGGATCGACTTTCTTCCGTTCATGAGGTTGCTGCAGTTCAGGGCTTTGGGTGAAATAATAGCGGCAGCAGCAATTGTCATTACCTTCTCTGTTGTGTTAAGGGCATTATGTTTTTTTTGTTTTGTTTTGTTTGAGCCATGTAGCAATCCTTATGGGAGTCCTCATCATTAAAGAGGTTTACGAGAATTATATAAAGTCATTATGGATGCATGGTTGATAGTACCTTCATGTATGGCCTCAAAATTCCATTTAATATCACACACTAATTAACCTCTCAGGGGTGGCACACTGTTTGATTATGTAAGTAAATGGGGTGAGGTGATTTTTTTTTATAAATACTCATACCATGTTCTCAACACATTTTACTTCCAAACACCCCTTAGGGAAACTTTTCTGCCTTATGCCCCGATTCTGAATTTTATTTTATGGGGTGCTTTCCTGTGTGTGCCTAGGCTGCCCTTGAGCGTCTCATGTGGTTAAGGATGACTATGAACTCCTGAGCCCCCGCTTCTACTTCCTAAATGCCAGGATTCTAGGCCTGCAACAACACACCGAGAACCTTCTGATTCTTTCTGGATGTGACTTTGTTCATAAAGCTTATTTGAGGCAGAGTGCATCTTTATTTCTTCTTGGTCCCGTCTTTAAGAAGCACAGTATCATTTAAACACCCATGAGGACAGATAGCCTCTGTATATGACCCAGTTTGTGCTTTAATTCCTGAAGCTAATGTTTGCCCAACAGTAGGCTCTCGGTATAAACGCCCAGTGTTGTTGAATGGGATTGTGGAAAGGAGATTTTACTTATACTTACACTTCCCCTCTCCTACCCAATCCTAATGCACATTGGTTAGATGGCCAGAACTTCCCGCCCCCTATAAAACCCTTTATGACTGTATGCATTCCAGCCTTTTTAGGCAGGACTCACTCTTTGCAATAAAATGTACCTTTTAACTCTAAACACATGGCCGTTTCTCTAAGCACACTCTATGTTTCTTTGCATGACTGCACTCACTGCGGTGCAGTTTTTAAATGGAAAGGTCGCAGCTGAACAGGGCTGTTAATAAGGATGTGTTATCAATGCAGTACACCACAGGCTGGCTGTCTGGTGGATGAGCCCAAGCAAACAGGACAGTATAAATATCCGGACAAACTCCCAGGACAGATTTATGATGCCGACACACAGTGTAAGTGGCAATTTGGAGCCAAAGCCAAGCTGTGCAGCCTTGGGGTTATGAAGGTATGTTTCCTCGTGATTTCTAACTTGCATTAAGGATGTGCCATGTGCCTGTGTACCTACCAAAAGGATAAACATTTGGTTTGCTGAGGCCAAAGGTTAGCATCTGGGTTATCTCTAAAATGTCATTTGTTTGGCATGATAATTAAGTGGTAATTTTCCTGTCAATGACTTATCCAGGCTTATCCCCCATAGACTCTGCATGCCTGGTTTAAATACCAGTTGTCTGCGTCCTTGGAAGAAAATTCCCCCCTTCTTACATGCAGGCTTTATTCCTTGAAGCAAAGCTGAGAATGCTTGCTCATGCTAATCATGGTTTTTGTTGTCTTGCTGTGCTTTTAAAGTGATGAACTCACAGTCACCATTACATCAATAAGCACCATGTGCCTTTCATTGTGTAAGACAACTATTGCAGGAGACACTCCCCTTGATACCAGAAAGTTGAAAGTCCCTATAATAGTCTTAGCATGCTTTCTACATTGACTCCTGGAAGCAAGATTACAGCCCAGATGAGTGAGAAAATACAAAGCTCCAATATGCAGAAATAAGAGAGGCCTGGTTGCACTCTTCCAAGAGATGCATTCCTGACAACATTGCAGTCCCAACATCAATAAAATGTCCCATACTTTTAAAGCTAGTTCATTCCAGGCGTCCAGTGGAAAATGTTGAAGTCTTAGGTAGTTGGGCCCATGGGTGATAGGAAAGTTGGTAGCATTTCCTTTCTTCCCTCTACCCCCGCTCCTTCCACCTCATCCCCCTTTGCCCTCTATTGCTCTTTCTCCATCACCCACATTAGTAGCAGCAGCAATACTGCCGTCCTAACTTCCGGCACCACCATTCCCAGCAGTTTCTGCATGACCCTCTGTCCTACATAAGACATTCCACGGCAAGATTGATTGCATTTGACCTCCATCTTCAAAACCACTTTGAAGTAAAAGTTATTGCCCTCCTTTCACCTACATCCCAGAGAAGGTATCCAGCTTGCCCAAAGCACAGAGCTCTCAAATGATAAATCTAAACAAAACAAATCACCCACGTGGAAGTTAAGCCTCTGCCTCTCCTTTGTTGGAAACTGCTTTCCCTTAACCTAACAGTCCAACAGCCACTGTGGTGACTTGTGTGGTATCTCTGTCGTTGTAAGCACACACAGCCTTTCGGTAAGTCAGCTCATGTATAAAATAAAAGTCCATTCTTGAGAAATAATATCCAGTCATAGGCTTGATATGGAGCCATAAGTTAATATACCTTGCAACCTTTCCTATTAAAAAGCTAATCCTCAAGCTTCGTTCTTTGGGCATATCCTTCACACCACATGGGATTTACATTATGCATTATAGTTGCTTTCTAAACGAGCAAACATGCAGCTATTTCAATTTGCCTGTTAAGCCTCAGCATTGGGTAGAATTGGCCATTCACTGAGTAGGCTCTCCTAAGCATGCCCTTCAACTGCTTCGTTCTGAGATAGCTAGATTTCTCAGTCATCGAATCTGCGCACATTGTATGTATGGAGCTAGTAATAAGCATGGCTACCTTTACAAATACAGAGGAGTTCCTGAATGAGTCCCCCTCCACCGGGATCATGCCTGTTCTGTGTCAGGCAGTGAGAAGGGTGTCAGTACCCCGCCTTAATCAGTTTCTGGTGCCACATCATATTTTTAAAAGATGGTATCTCGGCCTTGGTTGACCCTGGAAAGCATAGTGAAGGGAACTGAAGTGAGAAGACCTGAAATGATGAACGGCGCAGGGATGTCTGGGTGTCTGGGTGTCTGGGAGGGGAGCTGGGGAGTCTGGGCTAATAGAGAGATGGTTTAAGATGCCGATGGATGGGAAGGTGAGATTGATTGATGGCTCCTGGGTGTAGACTTGTTTTCCCTGTGAACTAGCTTTTGGTATTTTCCTAATCTTGATTATCACCAGAGTCACAGTCTCATCCCTAATGGTCACAATGGTACTCTGTTGTGTTCTAACAACAGCAACAACAAAAAAAGGATTTTCTAAACAATGAAATCCCATTTTTAATTTTTTTCAAAATGTTATCTTTATGGTCTTTATTGTGCTGTCTTTATTTTCTCTTTCTGCTGTTTCCCTTCAATCTTTTTATGAACTTTTCTCCCTGTCATCCCTCCTGTCATTTTACCTATTTACAGTAGGTAAAAGCACACATGTAGGGCTGGAGAGACGGCTCAGGGTAAAAATATGTCCTGCTTTTCCAGAGGACCTGAGCTCGATTCCCAACTCCAAACTATCTCCTTATAAACTTCCTGTAACTCTAGCTCCTAGCGATCTGACAACCTCTCTGGGAGGACCAATGCTCACATGCAATCACACACTTATATACATATATGCACATAGCCTCTGCCTTTGGGAGGTAGGGAGACCTGCAGTTAGAGTCTTATTCCAACTTTACCTAGATAGAGTCTTAAACACATGATTTGGTCTCCCTTGACCCACGTGTTCACATCTGTAGGAGAAGGTAATAGTTCCTCCCCGGCTAATTTGTGAGGACTGTTCTCCGGGTCCAATCGCATTCTTCTGCACATGAGAGGTCCTCTTGACCTCTTCCTTTCCCATTCAGCATCATGGCCCCAGTGCTCTGGATGTCTTCATAGAGGCAGAGGTGTCTGAGAGCATTCTTTCACGTGTGCCCACTCTCCCTCTTCTCCCAGACCCAAATGTCATTTGCCTAGCAAATCACACTGTTCTTTGTTCCTCCCCACAGTGTTTGTGCGGTCAGTCTGAGGGCTGCAACAAAAGTTCTGAAGCAAAGCTGCATCTGGAGAAAGAGAGCTTGCTTTAAGTGGTAGTTAAGGGGTGGCTTGTGGGTGTTGCCCTGATGTGATCCAACTCTAGCGAGCGTCTTCCTAGCTGTATCACAGTGTGGATGATGACCATGGCTAGAAAACGTATAAAAGAAAATAAATCTCTCTGCAAGTATAAAGCAAGAAAGAGAGGTAGTAAAGCCAGGCCCCAGGGTGGTTTTATCCTGCCCCAACTCACATAAGGACTAACCAGAGTTGGCAGGAGAAATACCTTAATCGCTATTAGGTGAAATTTTCTGGGGAGACATAAACACATTTCTCTGCCCCCTCCCTCAGCTAGGGCACTAACAACAGATAAAAGAGACCATTCCACCCAAGTCTAGCTTAATGAACCAAAGAGTTCTGAGGTTTCCCTATAGGTGCACGGATGGCTCAGAAATAGGAGCATTACACAACTTCCCACCTAGCATGGGTGTTTTCTTGGGAAAACTGCATCCCACCCCTGGAGGTCTCTGAGCAACTTGAAGGCAGATTGGATAGTTGAAGAATCTCCCTCAACCATTGGTTATTGCTTGTGTAACCTTGGAAGAGGGCCTATAGAGCTTCCAGAGATGTATGAGTTTCCCGGACTTCCTGACTCCTAGGAGCCTTCCTCTAGGAGGGAGTGTTTCAATTAGAAGGAAACAGCTGCACAGTAACCCCTGTCAAGGGCACTCCTTCACTCTCCCCAAATCTTCCCATTAGACCCTGTTTGATAACGACTCCACCTCTGAACATTGACACACTGAAGTCTAAGTTCCCGACATATGGGTGTTGGGGGTTCAAACCACACCCAGGGCAGAGCAGTGTTCACGAATATGAGTTACTAATCTGACGTAGGGTTCCGTGCTATTTAGACAGACCTGAAAGAGACTTAGCTCCCTAGCAACTGATGAGAAAAACATTCCCTCAATGACAATTCACTTAAAAAGAAATAGTCCCTGGCTAACCAGTTGATGGTGTTTGTTGAGAGTTCTGAAACATGGCACAGGAGTCAGTTGATGTTTGTACGCTGGTACCTTTCCTGCACCGGCCATGAACAGGACAAAGGAAATACCTCCAAGTTGATTCTTGGCTCAGTATCCTCCATTACCGTCACGTAGCCGGGGCTCAGGCATCATATTGATTGGCCCATTGAGGAAATTTAAAGCCAAATAGAAATTTGGGGAAGATATTTGAATACTAGTGAATGCTTCAGTGGCCATTGTTTCAGAGAGCATTTCTCCCTGAAGGCATTAGGATAGGGGAGTGTTTCCTCTAAGAATTTGACATTGGGCTTAAAGAGAAGAGAGTAAGTAGGAGGTTTCTAGAAGATTCTCACAAATGCCCTGTAATAAATCATATCACCTTTCAATTTCTATCGCCTTTCCCCACCAGCTTACATCCCAGTTATACCATGCCCTTATTTACCTTCAAATATTCTGTTTAATATTTCCTTTCTCACATGTCATCTATGGATTTCCCATTGTAGAATACTGCGTAACCTTCTGGATGACAAGCTTGTAATCATTCTAGACCATTAAAGATGTAGCCCAAGAGTTACCTCTTTCTCTCCAAGGACATTTGAACTATTCTTCCTCCGGGCTCTGTCTTACATATCACCATTATAAACTTGTGATTCCACATTGTAATCATCCATGCGTATTCCTTGCTCCCGCTGCTGCAAAATCTACTTAACTATTAGTCTTATGTAGCAGTAGATCCTTTGCAATCGATTATTAGCCTCATAGCAATGGCTGCGCTTCACTGTTTTACACATTCCTGTTTTCATAGAGTAGATTTTGCTCTCCTCCTCCCCCTCATCCTTCCCGTGAGGAAGCATGGGTGACTTGTGTGATAGAGCACCTCAGGCTGGAGAGGTGGCTCAGTGGATAAAGTTTGAGAGCCAGCGTTGGGTCCTCAGAACCCACTTGAAATCAAGGTTGTCCAGCATGGCAGGTAGCTTGTAATCCCAAGGCTCAGAAGGCAGGACAGAGGATCTATGGGTAAAGAGGCAGAACGAGTGAACTTCAGCTTCAGTAAGAGACCTTGTCTCAGTTAATAAGGTGGATGGAGGAAGACACCCATCATTGACTTCTGGCCTCTAAATGTACATGCACACATGATGCCCCTCCCCATTTAAACATAAATACACACTTATGCATATCAGATACGCATGTGCATCTGGGTGTGCACAGCACCGGGCATTTCCAGCATTGCCTGCCTTTGTGTTGTTTGGCTAAAGGATGCACATTTATCTAACAGTTTTCTAAAGATACCTTGCCTCCAACAGAGACTTGGCTTTCCCCTCTATCTGCAAAACAGAGGGTGCAGTTAGTTTAACACTGTAGAGACTGTGTTAGCAGACCACTTGGGCCACAGATTGTAGCCTGACTCCAATTCTTCATAGCCTGTAATTTGTTTTTTTCTGAGTCTCTCTTTGTCTGACTCCAGTGTTCCATTAAGCAACTGGTGGAAAATGCATGGCATTATTTATTGTTCCCCCTTGAACTCAACAGTAAGGAAATAGAAGTTAAATAACCTAAGATCACACATAGAGCACTAATAGAAAAGAAAACAATAAGGCCCAGGCTTCTGAGTCAACGTAGGTTGAATTCTTGATTGTATATTTTTGAATGAACTGTTCAAACATGGAGGAAAGATAACCACTGATTTATGTAGAAACAGTTATATATCTTGATAAACATATTTTAACCCTTGAATCCAGAAAATACTTTCCAAGTGTTTTGTCTGACAGAAATCATAGGAGATAGTTGTTACAAAAAATGGTTTATTTGGTAGTGTTCTTAGCTGATGCTTGATTGACAAGAGTCAAGGACTAGAGGCAACCTTCAGAATGGCCTTTAGAGGACGACTACAAAAAGAAACTGATGCATTCATTTCATTAAAAAATAAATATAAAAATACGGAGAGCTAAAAACTATATGTTGAAAAAATGCCAAGAGTTCATTTGGTATAATTCTACTATCCAAAATTGTGGTGGTAGCATCTACAATGGTGTATATATTTTGTCAGAGCTTTGAGAACCATACATATATGGTTATATATATATAATATATAATATATATATTACAATATAGTTACATATTATTGCAAACTATACCTCAGCAAACTTGCTTCTTAAAGTGATGCCAATGACATGGTCTGTTGGTTGCTGCTTTTTAATTACTGCCTCCCCTCAAAAGCTTGGGTAGTGAGATTCAACACAAGGTGTTTCAGGTCTAGCCTAGGAGAGATTTACCGCTGAGAGTAGTTGAGCAGTCATCTGACATTTCCTGAGTCTCCTTTTTCCCGTTAGCACACCAAAGAGAACAATTGTGGAGTCAATCAAGTAATATGGGGAAACTCTTAGCGGCGGGAGTAGGGTTTTTGTTATTCATTTCTTCTCTTTTCAGTACTGGATTGGGTATTGAATAGAGCCTCATGCATGCTTGGTAAGTGCTCTTCCTTGGAAGTGTGTTCCAGCAGTGCCCAGTTACATTATGTTTTCCAGAATTCTTTCTCAGAATATAATACTATTTTTGAGATAGGGTCTTACTGTATGGGCCAGGCTGCCCTAAAATTATATAGACCAGGCTGCCTTCGAACTCACTCTGACTTCCGAGTGCTGGGATTAAAGGTGTGCACCACCACTGGCACATTTTTAGTTGAAAACTTGTCTTAAGAATTGCAGATTACTTACTACCAGTGAGAATGTTTCCTAATTATAAAGTCTGTCATTTCGATTCATATACTGACTTGTTGAAAATATTTATTGAAGTCTTTCTGGGACCCTGTCCTTGGAGCACTGCCTCTGTATTAGGAAGGAGGATGATACATGGAGAATACTATAAACAAACAGATTATTGGCAAAGTGACTTTGGGATAAATAGGCCGAAGGTTGGTAGCTGATTAAATTTTAATTAGTAATACTGAGATGTTGCTGAGGGGAAGGGCATTTGCCTAGAATGTGTGAAGCCCCTGTCACGTACAAACACAAACTCACATACAACACACACACACACACACACACACACACACACACACACACTATTGAGTTCCCAAAGGGAACTTTATGAAGGCTTGAAGGAAATAAGAAAATGAGCCACTGTTAGGTATTCAGGTTGCTGGGGGTGTGGATAGAGCAAGATGTGCAGTCTGGAGGCACTGTCAGAACACTGCCTCACTGTTGATAGAGCAGCTATATGCAGGTGTGCTGGCTAGCTTTATCTGTCAACTTGTTACAACCTAGAATCACGAGGGGAAGATAGTCTTAAGGAATTATCTAGATCCAATGTCTGTGGGATATTATCTTGATTGTTAAATGATGTAGGAAGAAGATGTAGCCCACTGTGGGAAGTGTCATTCCCTAGTCAGTAAATGAAAAAGAGAGGATAAAGCCAGCTTGAGGGCAAGCCCATTCACTGATTCTGACCCTGATCTGATCGTGGGTGTGATGGTGACTAGGTACATCTGGGTCCTGATAGGGTGAACTGTAACGTGGGCTTTGTTATTTTCAGTTCAGCTTCCCTCCTCTAAGTTGCTTTTGGTTGGGAGTTTTATCACAGTCAAAGAAATTGAAGCCACAACAGCAAGAGTTGACCTGTAAGAGGTCAACTTGATCAGAGGGATCAAGCGGATTCAGTGACTGACTTGGAAGCGGCCAAGAAGGACTCTAGATTTACCCTGAGTCAAGCGAGACATCACATGGTTTGAACAGAGCAGTAACATGAACTGACTGATTTATATGGAAGAATTCCTCTAGCTCATAATGCTGGCCAGCAGAGCTTCCTATAGTGATGGGATTATCTTCTGCTATTCAGTATGATAGCCACATCCCATATCTGACTCTCGAAAGCATGGGCTGTGAATAGGACAAAAGTCATCTGCAACTCTGGGCCATTGTATCTGTGAGAACTCACTGGGTAAGGACGGAGGAAGACAGAACAACTGGGCTCGTGTTAAAGGGTATGACATTAAGGCACATGCAAAGTGGCTGGGAGCAGGGTGGCAGCAATGGGTGTGGGAAGTGTTGTTTAAATTTAGGAGCTATTTTGAAGGTAAACTCAACATGGTGGTATAGTTTTAGAAGTCCCTATGAGAGTTGCTCTGTGTATACGCTATAGAACTTGAGTTTTCAGATGCTTTTAGCATTTTCAACATGTCATATTTTACTAGAAGGAACTTGTCTTGTGGAATATAACCAGAGAACATGGGTCAGCAAATGACAGGACCCAGTACAACCAGCATTGCTTAAATATGTGGTCTTGTTGAGGTGGGGGATCATATCCAGGCAACATGAGACCTTTGGGTCTCTGTGGTTATTTCTCTTTCTCTTAAATTATGACTTAAGTCCAGGTAATTATAGATAAGACAAAGTGGGGTATACTGACGGGGGGAAAAGAGGGAGGAACCAGCTAAGGAGTGCAAGCTCCCCTCTTTGTTTACTTTGAAAGGGAGTTTTCTCAGAGGGTTTTTGTGGTCGTTAAAGCATGTCGTCGGCTGTAATTACATTTGACTTCTGCACTTCACCACAGGGGAAATAACATGTCCGTACAGCCTGTCTGATTTCACCCTGGAATCCCTGTGTTTTGCCTGCTCTTCTCCAGCTGCCCCTTGTCTCAGCCCTGTGGCTTGGCTTTGGCTGTCATGTCTAGACCACCCTCCCCAACTCCTTTTTCTATTTTTCTTATGGTCTCCCCCCACTTTTTTTTTTTTTTTTTTTTGCTTTGTATCAGGCTGGTTTAGATGGCTGCTATAGGCATGGGTCGTGGCTCTCCATTGGCTGTAGGAAAGAAATGTATTTGGTCTTCAAAGTTACGGCTTGAACTGACACTAGGGTTGAAGAACCTCACTAGCAAGATGACCTTTGTCCCAAAAGCATGAAAGATACCTTTAGCCCTTCCATAAGATTGACTTGCACTGTTTCTATGGAGACCGCTTTCTCCTCTAGTCTGACCTATACTCCTCACATCTCTCGCTCAATAACTGCTTCAGCCCTGGAATACCTTGATATGGAATCCCTTATAGATCACCGCCCTGATTCTGTGGGCTGAGAGTCTGCCTCCTGATCCTTTAAATTACCTCCTAGGTCTAGTGTCAGAATTAAGTTGCCATAGCGCTGGAAAGTCACGAGGCTAAGAAAGTGACAATGATGGTGACAATAGCACAAAGATATCAAGAACTGTGTGTGCCAGGCTGGATGGTCCCTGGCCGTGTAGTATGTTATTTTTCCTTGAGAACACCTCTGGGAGGGTGGGGGTCAGGTGACAACTGGACAACTTGTAGAGTGACAAGAAAAAGGAACCTGCAGCGTCTAGGGGTTCTAAAAATGCTAGGGACATGGACGGGTCAGATCTGCTTTATTCCTCTTTTGATCTGTTCTGTCTCCCAGGCTCTTGTCACTATCATCAGAAAGCAGATCTCTTGAGCACACACATACACACACGCATGCACACACGCACGCACATGCACACACGTGTGCACACATACCCCTACCACTTAGGTCTGAACAGTCAGTGGTCTGGAGATCAACTAATGCTACCCCCTCTTCACTAAGTACACACAAGCATGCAAACTCTGCAAACTCTCTTTCTGTTTATCTCCTTACTACAAAAGAAAATTGCTTTACTCCCACCAACTTGACTTGCCTGTACTTTGAGCAATTTGTCGTCTGATTGCATCCATCACAAAATAAAGGGCCGTACCCCAAAGCTTTGACTGTTAGCATTTTTTTTTAGTGTGTATTGCCAGTCTCACCCCCTCCCTTTCCCTCCTCTTTTTAGGATATCTGTAAATCACTCTGGTGCCACCGCGTGGGCCACCGCTGTGAGACCAAGTTCACGCCGGCAGCAGAAGGAACCGTTTGTGGATTGAGTATGGTAACTGCACTTGTTAGTCTGCAACTCTAGAATCGTGCGAAGGTCATAGAGCCATGGCTTTAGAAGGGCACATTTTCCTTGGCTGCATTTTTTTTTTCCTGGTTTCTCTTTAAAGTAACCAGCATTACCAAGCAAAGATTACCATACAGAATTGCAACATAGACCAGTTCATTCATTTGTTTATCTAAATATTTTATTGGTGTTTCTCATTATGGATGGGGCCTTGGGTTTTCAGCATCTCTAAGTCACTGACCTGACGGGCTTCACTGCAGTCCACATGCGGGCCAAACTTCGTGTTCTATAAAAGAACCCCAGGGGGCAGGTGTTCCCATTAGTAACAGACATGACTGTCCACACAAATGTTCACACTTATTTCTGTTGTCTTTCCTTTTCCGAAGAGGGTCTGGCAGGAAAGGCACCCTTGGGCCTAGCAGTAAATGAAGTATAGTTAGCAAGTCCATTGGAAAACCCACACTAGAGCGTCAACATATAATGAGATGGTGCAGGTTTGCTCATCTCGGTCATTTGTTTTCTCAAAATTCTCCTAATCTGAATAGAAGAACTGATCATTTGAAGTGATTTCAGTTCTTTGATGACTATTGAGTACCAGTATCAGGATGAGTCTCTCTGAAGATACCGAGATGAGACTAACTGAAAACTCAGTCCTGCTCTTCCAAGAACCCGTAGCAGAAGCTTCCAGCTTTTACTGTTCTTCAAACGTTCCTCTTGAAACACTAACCGCTACCACCTAAAGGAAACAGCATTGGTTGCAGTCCAGTATTCATGTCAAATGAACGGCAATGAAAGTATATACCAAGTGGACCCTGGAGCTGACACTGAAGAGCCCTGAGAGACTACGGAAACAGAAGCAGAGTGCAAACACACGACATCAAAACGACTGAAAGCTGAGTCCTTCCATCTCAAGATGTGTGCGCAAGGAGGAATTAGGTCTATAGGGTCACACGCTGAATTAAAAAGTTTTGGAGCAGGATCCTGGGGCTCATTCTGTAATCCCAGGATTCAGAAGACTGAGACAGGAGGCAGGCCATGAGTTTGAGTTCAGCCTAGCTTACATAACAAGTTCCATAACAGCCTCTGCCGGGTAGTAAGATCTTGCCTAATAACGTAAATCACACATTTCAAAATGTACAGAGCAAGTCACGGCTAGTCAGTCATATTGAATAGTTGAGAAATACTAGTAATATGTGTGATAAGACTATATGTGTATCTATTTAATATTTTCATTTTATACATAGAATTTTATATATACATTATGTTACTTGCACCTATGTGTAGATTTCTGTAAATTCCCATTTGTTACACAGATTGCAAAGGCAGAGGAAGACAGTCTGCCAGCAGTCTGACCTAGGACCAGGATGAATACTGAGATCATAGCAGCCCAGATGTTCATTCAACGGTTGAAACAGATATAAAATGCATTTCCAACAAAGAAATTAGATTAAAATTAAGTCACATCAGTCAGTAATTTGTCTATAAGAAGCAAAATGAGCCGTGTGTAGTTGTGGAATCTAGATTCTTCTATGTGTGTTATAGCTGTGTCCCTGTAAGACTGAGAAAGTCAGAAGGCCCCTACTTAGTTCTCATAGGCAAAGCAGCCTTCAGTTCCTGAATGCTTGAAAGGGCTCTAGAAACTTGGTGAGACAGGTCTTCCCACTGTTCCCAGTCATCAGAGCAACTTAGTTTGCTGTTGGCTGCTGGTGCTAGTGGGACCAGGGGCTATTGCTAGTGGGACCAGGGGCTATTGCTAGTGGGACCAGGGGCTATTGCTAGTGGGACCGGGGGCTATTGCTTTTTGTCCAGTGTCAGCCCAGTCAAGGCCCCTTCATTCCTGGTGGGAAAGATGCATGGTGGCAGTAGCAAGATCCCCCCAGTGACTGATTGGTCCTCCACAGCGTTATGTAATTTCAAACTCTGAAATGGCAATTAACCCAAGCAAAAGAAAAGCTTAAAACAGAGGGATCAATCTGCTCGTGGCAAGAATGTGAAGAAAAGAAGAAACATAACCAAGAAAAAGCTCACTTTCAACAGAGCCACACAGTGAGCAGTCGTACAGCCAAATGTATCATGGGAGTGAGGGGGGTGGCGGAGAGCTGTAAGTCAGACAGTCTCCCTGTGATTCTATAACTGAACACCCCTTCTCAACCAAACCTGGTGTCCCCTAAAGCCCAGCCCTTTGGATCAAAGTGCAGAGGTTTTCAGTGTGTGGTTCTACTAAGTCTTGCAGGACTTGCTCAAGGTGAAAACACAACAAGAAAGAGAGCGATACTTCCAGAGATGAACTCAACCCCCAGGGAAGGAGAAGAAGTGGGGGTGGGGGCTAGCAAACCCTGACTTTACTGCAACAGAAGAACCAACATGGGAGGCTAGCAGAGGAAACAATCCTTGGCCCACCTTGTGAGGATCACAGCCAAATGAAGGAGAAACAGGCACCTTCTATGAATGTCATTTGTTGGGACCGAAAGTTCCTAATTTCATATGCGATTACTATCTGATGGTTGAACGAGGCAAATCACATGCACAGCCAGCTATAGCTCGCATCTGCTTTGATAGTGACATCATCACAACGATCGACACTTGAATGCCTTAGAATTGTTCCATCAATAGCATTGCCTCCGTGCAACCAAGAGGCCTCCTTGTAATTCTGTCTGACGACTTGGGGCACTGTGTAGAATCTTATCTGTCTGTTTTCCCTACATCCACAGTTCACACCGCATGTGCTTCTCAGCCTGAGGATGGGGAACGCCACTTCTCTTTCAGGCAGACTTGAAAATCCGGGCAGTAGCCACACAGCCGTAAAACACGGCCATGAGAGCCATGTCCGTGTCCTACATTGTCCCTCCTCCCTCCCCAGACCCCCTTTTTCTTTTTCATTGGGCAGCTATTTGCCTCTCCCTGAACTTGCCCGGTGGTCTCTGATGGGAACCATGTCGCATGTTCTTTCTGCAGTGGTGTCGACAAGGCCAGTGTGTGAAGCTTGGAGAGCTCGGGCCCCGGCCCGTCCATGGCCAGTGGTCTGCCTGGTCGAAGTGGTCAGAATGCTCACGCACTTGCGGTGGAGGAGTGAAGTACCAGGAGAGGCACTGTAGTAACCCCAAGTAAGGCTCCGGGAGGAATGGGCGCTGCAGTGGGATTTTCTTCCCTCCAGTTAAAAGCAACCAGTCAAGGTTTTCCTGTTTACACATGAAGGCTGTGGGTACTGAGAAGTGAGGCAGGCAGAAGCATGTGGGTAGAGTTGAGAAGAGAGCAGAAGAGCCACTCTGTGTGTTGATACGATCACCCGAGACCCCAGTCATCTCCTGAACTTTTGTCTTAACTGGAGCAAGGCACTGCACTTCTATACCTGAGCTGTTCAGCTGAGAGGCTTGGGGACTGGAACATGTGTCTCCAACAGATGAACTGAGAATGTGTCATAACTTTTTTCCCTTGTAGGAATAGGCTTTGATTCCTGTTGATAGACACATCTGACTTCTCAAAAGATACCTGAAAAAAAAAAAAAAAAACCAAACCATGTTGTTACAATACATAGCAATTGCTATGTGTTGATGGCAAATTTTAGTTTTCTTTAAAAACAAATAGAAAGCCATTGTGAGAACTAAAAGCATACAGTCACATGTTGAAACTGGCTTGTGGTCTTCTCTAGAGACTCTACAGTATCATCATTATAGAGCTTGAGACTGGGAAAATACAAGGGCATTTAAGTAACTTCGGAAGATTGTAATTGACACGTGAGGTGAATGCCTCCTATTTGTCCCGGTAGAAAGGTCCGAGGCACTGCAGGTACAAAGACCCAGAGAACTCACCTCCCCTTTCTAAACTTGTGACTTTAGAAAAGTCACATGAACTCTAAGCTTATGTTTCTGTACAAAATGAGATGTTAGCGCCGTCTCAGAGACTCTGAGGAATTAAGAATCGTATCTGTAAAATCCCTCAGTGCCGGGAGTGGTGGCATACACCTGTAATCTCAGCACTTAGCCTGAGTCAGGAAGAGTAAGGCTAATCTGGGCTGCATGGTGAGATCTTATACTGAGAGAGACAGAGACAGACATGGACAGACAGACGGACACCAAGTGATCTGAGAGATAAGTAACACCCAATAGACACGCAGCAGAGCATTCTGAGGGCCACATGCCCCCAGAGTCCTCATCTCAACCTCTCCAGAAGGATGGGGTCGCCCAACATCACCCTAGGGACCTATAGAGGAAGTGGTAGCTGCAGGGTCATGACACTACCCGTGGCCTAGAAAAAGTGTGACAGAAAAATAAGAGTATGATGAGGCCCTGAATAGTAGGGTTAGTTTTACCACCCATTTGGGGGATGGCAGCCCACTGAGGTTAAGAACATAAGCTATGGAACCCAACACCCCAACTCTGCCCTAATCCTGCACTGCCAGCCGTGAAGCCACCAGCAACCTGCTCTCCCTTTCCCCGGAGTCCTCGTGTGTGAACATGGGGTCAAGATGGCACCAGCCATGCTGAGGGCTGTAAGTGCTCTGTAAGAGGGCCCAGTATGCTGTAAGTACTTCAGGAATCTGCGGTGAACTGAGAACCAGAACTTAACAAAATCAGAGTAAAAAGCAAACTTTCAGAAGGGAAAATGGTACCTCATCTGATTAAGTAGTCTGAGCGCCATATAAAGTTTTTTGATTTATTTTTGCCAAAATACAAGGGGCAGGTTGGAGTTAATTAAATGGTGTGTGTCAGGTGCCTCTTGGGATATCTTAGGCTGCTCAGGAGCCAGCCACCCTTCTCTCTTCCTCCCTCCCTGAGGATTGACTCTGGGGCCTTGGGCATAGTGATGGAGCTCCCTTTGCAGGCCTCTTTAAACTTTTTATTTAGAGGCAAAATGCTGGCTGACCTTGAGTTCTTTATCTACCCCAGGCTGTCCTTGAATTTGTGGTCCTCATAAATAGCTAAGATCACACACCTATAGTAATAGTTGTAGTTCCAGGTACCCAGAGGTTGTCAGATATAGAATTATTGACATAAAAGGCTGCAAAGTTCCTGTGAGTTTATCTCTTAAGAATTATTATATTATTTTATGTCGTGTGTGTGTGTGTGTGTGTGTGTGTGTGTGTGTGTACGCTCCTGCATGTCTGTGCAGAGACCAGAAGAGGCACCTGATCCCTGGAGGTGCAGTTACAGGAGGTTGTGGGCTGCCAGATGTGAATGTTGGGTGTGGAACTCCTCTGGTCCTCAGCAAGAGCAGGGCATTCTTAAGTGATCTGCATCTCCCCAGCCCCAGGACTTCTTTTTTATATTGCCGGATCGGCAACCATGACACCTTCTCACTTGTTGCTAACGGGATTACTTCCTATCTCTTTACTCCCCACATTGTAGCAAAGAAAAATGTCTTCAGGCATTGCCACATGTCCTAAAAGGAGCAAAATGTGTGTCTTTCTGGAACTCCTCAGACTCAGTACCTAACTCTAACTGGAGGAAGGCTTGGCATCCATTCATGATTTATACCAGATTATAAAAACCATCCTTTTGATACCTCACTGTAACCAATGTCTCTACAGCACTCTTCAAAATCATTGTTACTTTATGTTCTGGAGCATATTTCCTGGGTCTGGTTTTCATGCATGACTACATCTTATATCCCAATGTTTTCCTGAGAAAGAAAGGAATTGCCTTACTTAATAGCTCTGCCAGTGGTGTGCAGGAACGGCATCCCTGGGATTTCAGTTAAAACCTTTCTCATGCCTATGGGATTGAGAGTTCACCTTATGATCGAGAACTGCTTGTGGAAATGGCATGTCTTGGTTTTAGAGATCCTTAATGGGGAATTAATCACCAAACTCTTTCTACTCGGTGGAGTTCTACAACATTACATAAGATCACAGATAACTGGAATACTGTCGACTCTACCTCAGGGTAAAGCCACAAGTAAAATGAGAGATGGTCAGTTAATCCCAAAGTGGTTGAATTAATTGTTCTATCAGCTCCTTGTTCTATTTGTTGGAGCAAAGCTGCTTTTTTCCCTCACCCTTTCAATGTCAAGTTATTGATTTTTTTTTTCTTCTGGCTAAGTTCTGCCATTTGTTTCTGTTTGTAGCTCTCAGCTTAACTGTTTTCATTTTCTCATTGGAGAGGCAGTGTAAGGTTCCCATTTCATCCTCTGAGCTTCTCCCAAGGATGTGTTTTGTTTCATAAAAGAATGAGGTATGTAAGGTGATTTGTAGACTTACCAGCATGTTTAGCCTCACAAGGGGTTAAAGGTCCTTTGATTCCACAGCGGCCAAGACTGCCTCCCCTGTCTGTAGCAGGTGCTTATATTTCTTCTACACCCCATTTTCTGTGGTGTTCCTCCACACCTTAAGAGCCTCTCACAATACTTCTTTGGGCATTTTTTTCACAGACACATTAACACTACCCCATCATTTCCAAGTGCATGCCACCCCACTTTTTCACAGCATCAGCACCACTTGGGTACCACACTGACAATGGCAGATTCAAACCAAGGTGTATAGTCTTTACCCTTCGACGTTTCTCCTGGTTCCCTATCTACCAAATTATCACATTGTAATAGAGACTCAGGATATTCCTTTAAGTTCTATTTAAAAAAACTAACAGTGACATCCTGAGATATTCTAGAACATCCCTAAAACACAAGTCTTTTCAGCAAAGAATTATAGATCACTCAGTCTAGTGCCACCCAGCTCCTGAAGTTTGGGAGGAAGCTGGGATTTTACAATCATTGAACTGACTCTGGGGCCCATTTTTCTGACCAATAATTTTCAGGCTCAATTTTCAAAATCAGGACGGTCCTCTAAATGACACACCAATTTCTTTGGAAAACATACATTACATACACATACTGTGTGTTCTCTTATGTTGTTGTCATTATTATTGTTTTTCAAGACAGGGTTTCTCTGTGTTACAGTCCTAGCTGTCCTGGAACTAGTTCTTGTAGGCCAGGCTGGCCTTGAACTCAGAGAGATCCACCTGCTTCTGCCTCCTGAGTGCTGAGATTAAAGGCATGCACCCATTTGTTTTATTGGCAGAGGCTGCTTGTTTGTTTCCCAGTGACCCAGACCCAAACTAATCACACAGAAACTGTGTTAATTAAAACACTGCTTGATCTATTAGCTTATGCATATTTCTAGCTAACTCTTACAACTTAAGTTAACACATCTCTATTAATCTGTGCATTACCATGAGGTCATGGCCTATTGGGAAGTTTCTGGCAGGCCCCCACATGTGGCTTTCTCCTTTTGTGGCTACATGGCATCTCTCTGACTCTGCCTACTTTCTATGTCTCTTTTCTACTCTACATCTCTCTTCCAGCCTGGCTATATTATGTTAAGCTATTGACCAAACACAGCCTTTTTATTAACCAATGATAGTCACACCATACAGAGGGGAATCCTACATCAATGCTTGCTTGGTTTGTATGAGAAAATCTGTGCTCAGTTCCCAGTACTGCATAAGCCAGGCTCGGACTATCTGGAATGGGATTATTCAAGAGGTAGATTCAAGGAGACCTGTACTTCAGGTTTATTCTTGACTGTGTAGCAAGTTTGAGGTTAGAATGAGATACATGAGTTCCTGTCTGAAGAATGGAGGGAGTGGAGCAGACAGACAGAGAAATTATATAAGAGCACATACATGAGAGAATGTAAAGAATCTTACTGTATACATGTGTGTCATATGTACTTAACAGCATTTCTAAGGTGAGTCTGATAGTCATATAACCAACTAATACTACAAGCATCTGTGGTCAGGCTGACTGATGCAAAAACAAATACAGTTCGACTCCATGTTGTGGGAACTCCTTTAGCCATCATTTAACATCCTTTAAGCTATCATGGTCTCATGTACTAAAAGTGCAAATGAAAAGTGTGTGCAGCCCCCCCCCCTTTTCTTCTGCTAAATTTGGTTCCAGTTCCCAGCACACGCAGAGGACTGCCGATCACTACCCTTACTGTGAGTTTAGCCCCAAAGACATAAACCTGTGTTAGTCTCCAATCCGGGCTCTTGTGGCACTCTCTGGTACCGCTACAGCTTTATAACGCAAGAGCATGTGCCGAGAGTTCGCTTTCTGCCTCTCTTCCTGTTTCCAATCACAGAGCCCGAGCCACACTGCAGGGTGTTATGGGAAAGTTTTCTATTTGCTTCTCTACACGTTCGTGCTTAAGGCCACAGAAATCCAGGCGTGGCCGTGCAGCCCTGCAGTCCGTCATTCGGAAAGCACGTGCAGGAAGATTCTGAGTCGGCACTCAAGCTGTGACTACCTTTCACAACTCAGTCTCAGCGAGAATTAAAGGCTGCGGGAAAAGGTTGTTGAGCTGGAACATTTGCTAGGAAATCTGAAATTATTGGCAGCTGTGACTTTGACCACTCTGACTTTAGCCCATGACAAAAAAAAAAAAAAAAAAAAAAGAAATCTGAGCATTCTGATCAGAGAGAGAACAGCGTGGCTTGTCATTTGAGAAGATAAACTATTTAAAATGCTTAACTCATCTATAAAGTCAAGGACATTAAACCAGCATATGAAATTAAATGCCCATCTGCCTCGCCGTCAAAGGCAGGCTTCCTGGCCACTTTCCTCACTGGGTCTTTCTCTCAGTCCCCATGGGGTTCAACAATGCCTGTCTTGCTCAGAGAAATGCAGTCCTAGGTGACAAGGAAGAGAGTCTGGGCCAGAGTCCAAAGATCTGAGGCTCAGCTCCACTGTCCTCCTGAGCTGTGTAGGTTTTCCTGACATGCCGTCTGTGCCTCGCCTGCGCTTTCTTCCCTTCATCCATCTGGAGTGGAAAGACCCGTGAGTTTGGAGGCCTTTTCCAAGCAGCGGCTGTGTAGGTTGGACAAGTCCCACCCTGTGATGGTTCTTAAGCTGACAGGCAGTCCACATACAGCCAATGTTTAAAATCTCAGAGAGAAAGCCTCGAGCCGAGGGTTTGCCGTAATATGCCTTGTAGAGTATTGAGGCCGTGATAACACAATTTAAGGTCTACTAATGGTCATTTAGGAAGTCCTAGGGGTTATGATTGAGTGCCACCCCACTGCATGTTTAGCCATTCGGTCTAGAATGTTTGGAGAAGGCAGAAAGGTCTCATTCTGGCCAGGCAACACTTCCTGTGTCTGTGGAGTTCATTCTTGGGATCTCAGGAAGACTTGTTAGAAGATGCTGGGGTGGAACCAGCAGTGTTCTATGACAAGCCTGGGCCTCCAACAGGGACAGAGAATTTTAATCACATCAGTTTATTAACCTTGAGTCCCCTTTCAGGTGACCTGTTGGTATTGGATTTTATATGAAGTGGTTCACAGTTGGGTTTTAGTTCTGGAGAAATCTGTGGGGAGGGAGAGCAAGGAAAATGCTTTTTGGAAAGTAGGCTGGGTGACTGGTTAGTGTTGGTGCAGAGTAGGCTGGGTAGTGGTTAGTGTTGGTGTAGTGTAGGTTCGGTAAGTAGTTAGTGTTGGGTGCAGGGTAGGCTGGGTACTGGTTAGGGTTGGGTACAGGCTAGGCTGGGTACTGGTTAGTGTTGGATGCAGGCTAGGCTGGGTACTGGTTTGTGTTGGGTGCAGGCTAGGCTGGGTACTGGTTAGTGTTGGGTACAGGGTAGGCTGGGTACTGGTTAGTGTTGGGTACAGGGTAAGCTGGGTACTGGTTAGTGTTGGATATAGGGTAGACTGGGTGAAGGGTCTTAATTTTCAGTGCAGTTGCCCTTTTTCTTCATTTTTCTTCCTGGCTTTTGCAAATCTGAATTTGGCCACTCAGATGTCTTAAGAGGTTGCTATTGAGACGACAGTGATCTATGTTCTCGTGAGATTCTCAGCTCGTGGGATCAGTCCCCACTTCTCTTTGCACCAGGAAGGCTGCCGGTCACCAAAGTTTAAAAGGCACTCATGCTGGTGAAAACGAGGCAGTGTCTCCCCTCAGAGTGTGGGGTCAGTTGGAATACCACCCCTCCTCCCAGTATAGAGAAAGAGCCAGAGTGCTAGCCCCAGCGCTGACAGACCTGGCCTGGAGAACGTGGTTCTTCCTCTCTTTTCCCACATGCCGTAATCTCCAGGGTAGCAGGTGCATGGGAAAGGCAGGAAGATGGTTGGAATGTAATGAGAGGGCGGTAGGGAGCCTGGAGGGCTGCGTTTGCAGCATTTGATACCCTTGCAGACGCTGTGCATATGCAACGTACTTGTTGCAGAGAACATCTTACTGTGTTCACGGAATCCCTGACACGCAAAGTATCAGGAATATTTTTGTCATCGATTGTCAAGGAAAGTTCTAGAATATAAAAACTAGATCAGAGATGGCAAATGAGTTTAACTTTATTTGCCACTTACAATTAGGCATAGCAGCAGCTGCCTGAAAGTATAATGAATATGATATTGCAACTTTGAGGCTATATTAAGTTTCTGTGAAAACAAAAGGAGCTCTGTGGTTGATTTATTATGTCTGCACAGGAGCAAGAAGGGACTAGGCAAATTGCAGGGCACGTACAATCGCCCATAGTACAATGATATTCCCCTCAATTGTCCCTTCTTGCATTATTATATGTGGCTGCGAGTGGGGTGTTTGGTACTAAAATTCCTCAATTCTGTTTTTAGGCCTCAGTATGGTGGCAAGTTCTGTCCAGGATCTAGCCGTATCTACAAACTGTGCAACATTATCCCTTGTAATGAAAACAGCTTGGACTTCCGCGCCCAGCAGTGTGCGGAGTATAACAACAAGCCCTTCCGGGGATGGCTGTACCGGTGGCGACCTTATACCAAAGTCGAAGGTAAGTCAATCACCGTAACACTCTGGTGTCTCTCTGTGGATAAGATGTAAATTCACAGCACAGAAAGAGATCTTGGCCCATGTTAAACAGTTCCCATGTTATTTTCGGTGCCCCAGACCTGTCCTGGCTCAGTGTTTCATCAACTTTCATAGGTGTTGTTTATTTTTGCAGTCTTTTTTTCCTTCCCAGAAGATACCTTTCGTCTGTGAGTGATCGGACCTGTGTGTTTGAAATGAACTTATATTTCTAAATGTACCATTGACAGCTTGGTGATTTTCGTTTCCTAGGGGTGTTAATTGAAAGTGGTTTGAGTTGTCTGAAAACTTGTGAAACCATATATGTCCCACAGAGACCGCATAGTTAGGAAGGGACATGTCAAATGATTGCAAGTACAGAAATTTTTTTTTTGTAATAAGAATATATGTTGGAGAGAGAGAGAGAGAGAGAGAGAGAGAGAGAGAGAGAGAACACAAGAGAACAAAAAATTATACCAGGCTGGCCATATTTATTTTAACAAAGTTATAGCTTGCATTTAACTTTTTAAACAATGACTATAAAGAGAAACAAGAACCTGGTATTTTGAGACAATGTATCATTCTTTAGCTCAAAATAACTTGGAATTGACTATGTGTCCCAGGCGGGATTATCTAGCTGCATTAGGCTTTTTAAATGAACTTGTTTTTGTCTTGGCTAAATAACAAAACATTTGCTTCAGTTGACATGGACAAGTTAGTATACCTTCTATTGCCCATGCTGGATAATCTGTCACTAGTCCAGCTGTGCCTTGTGATTTTTATACCATCCTGGCTTATCTCTTTCTTGGGGGAAGGATTTGTGTGGCTCTTGCATACATGTAGAAGGAGACAAGTGTGATGTTTTTGACAACTGACGGACTGTTCTCAAAATGAACCTGTGCTGTCAGTTGCCATCAGGAGAGCTTTTGTAATTACAGTGACTATAGTGACCAACCCCACCTGATGTTACGAGCAGGTAGTGTGGCTTTAAATGATACCCGCCTGGATGTTTCAGAAGTGCTGACTCTGCATCTAGGGCTGTCTGTCAAAAGCAGAGGCAAATGTGACCATTTTGAAGACTGTGTCTCAGGAGAAAATAGTAGGAGAACTGTGGTTGTTTATTATTTTTTTTTAAAAAAGTTTTAACACATTGAAATCAAGGTGTTTTAGATTTTCTTCAAAGAATACATCTGTCGTTGGTTTTTCACTCATTTTACTCTCTGGAGGCCCACCACCCAGCTCCAAAATAAATACACAAAGACTTATTGTTTCTTATGAATGCCCTGCCTTAGCTTGTCTTATTTTTAGCCAGATTTTCGTAACTTAAATTCTCCCATCTAGCTTTTACCTCTGGGATTTTATCTATCTCTAGTTTATATACCTTTCTTTACTTCTTACTCCATGGCTTACTGTGTCGCTGGGTGAATGACCCCTGGTGTCCTCTCCCCTTTTCTCACTTCTCTATCTTTCCTCCAAGATTTCTCCTTCTATTATTTTCTCTTTCTGACAGCCCCACCTATCCTTTCTTCTGCCTAGCTATTGGCTGCTCACCTCTTTATTAGACCAATTTGGTGTTTTAGACAGGCAAAGTAACACAGCTTCACAGAGTTAAACAAATGCAGCATAAAAGAATGCAATATATATATTTGCATCATTAAACAAATGTTCCACAGGATACACAAATGTAACACATCTTAAACTAGTATTTCACAACACACATCTGTGTAAAATCTCAGAATGTCCTAGGATCTCAGCTTTAGAGAGACCTAGCCTACATTCTTTTGTCATTTCTCTTCCCTAAACATTTGTCCTGCTTTAGTCTTAACACGAGTCTACTTTTACATTTTTGTTTATTTTTATTGTGTGTATAAATACTTTACCTACTTGTATGTTTATGGACAGACCCATTGGAACTGGACTGATAGACAATTGTGAGCCACCATGTAGATGCTGAGAATTAATCTCTGATCCATTGCACTTACTGCTCTTAACCACTGAACTTTCTTTCCAGTCTCAGGTTTACTTACTCATTTCTTCATTTACTCATGTATTCATTCATTTGTTCATTCATTCATTCATTTATTATTTATTTGTTTGTTTATTATCTTTACAAGAGCTTCAGGTGCACAAGCACTAAGCCTTGGTACATCCTCAGCATGTTTTGTGTCCACAGCATCTAAGAAGGCGACTTAGTCAATATTTATAGACTAGTTTGGGAGGCTTGTTGTTGAGTTTTGAAAAATATAGGGTATCACTCTGTAGTCCAGACTAACTTAGAATTCTCTGTCCTCCACTTGAGCCTCCTAAGTCCTAGGATGACAGATGTGCTACCATACCTGGCTTTAATAGCTGGACTTTTTTAAATGAATGGATGATTACCAGCTGTCTAGGGGGACACATGACCTCTGTGTAAGTGATAAGTTCTCTGTCACTACATGCATTCAGCTAGGGCTTGAGTGATGAACAGGGAAGGACACTACACAGCCGGCTCCAGCACGCAACAGATGGGATCGGCCAAATTGCTCTATTTCTAGCATCCAGAACCAGATTTTCTCTTGTGTGCACACTCGCAACCCCATGTTTCTCATATAATTCCAGCCCTCAGGAAGCTGAGGCAGAGAGATGCCCTGGTTTGCTTTTCATTGCTGTGATAGCCACTCTGAACCAAAGAAGCTTGGCTTTGTTTCGTCTTACACTTCCAGTTCCCAGCCCTTCCTGAAGAGCAGTCAGGGCAGGAGCTCAAGCAGAAACCAGGAAGGAAAACTATGAACTCCCTACTTCATGCTTAGCTAGCTTTCTTGTGTTGCCCAGACCTACCTGCCTGGGTAATGGTGCTACCCACAGTAGGCAAGGCCCTCCCATAGCAACCACCAAAGAAGATAGTCTCTGGAAGACGTGACTATGAGCCAGTATGATCTGAGCAATTCTTCAGTTGAGGTTTCCTTCCTCCAGGTGACTCCAGGTTGTATCAATTTCATGCTAAAAAGTAGCAACACAAAGGGTCTGGATTGGAAGCCAGCTTGGGCTGTGTAATGAGACTGTCTCAAGACAAAGTAAAAGAACAGGGGAAGGCTCTATCTTAAAGGAAAATCTTTTCCCCTTAAGTGACAAACTTCTCTTTTATCTTTTTTATTCTGTTTTAAAGGGAAAAGTCATGCCTGGAAATATGTACTGGACCCAAAAAAAGAAAAAAAAAAGCTTTTATTAGAACTTTTAAATTTCTGGGATTGGTAAAGAAGAGAAAACACACACACACACATGCATGCACACACACTATCCAAATCCTTAATCTCATTTATAAAAATTAGACAATATTAAATAAAGTTGTTATTTGAAAAAATTAAAAACATTGTAGTTGAGAGAAAAGCATTTTATTCACCCACACATCTACATATTTTGACCACAGTCATATATTTTCTCTCATGGTTAAGTTTTAGCTCTGCCTTCTGGTGAAGGTTTTGTGGGACAGGACTGTTTATGAACTGTTTACACATCTATGTGAAACTGTTGTTAGGGATATCGCTCAGTGTCGCCTACGGAAAGTCCCATGTGAAAAACGTCATCTGGAGTTGCTGGCCAAGGATAGCTGTCTCTATCGAAGGAATTGGCCTGCTTACTCCTTCCAGATAACAAGAGCTCTTGAACTCCACTTTTTTATGTTTTTCTATGATACTAGAAATTTCTCAGGAGATTAATGGCTGACACAAAGTACTTTTTCGGCCTTTAAAATTAGCTAATTTGCCCTTTCTATTTGTGACATTTAATCTGATTTTTTATAAACATAGTTTTCTGCATGCTTTTGTTTTTGAAGTGCTTCAGTCTTTACCTTTTTGCAGGCTGTATAAATACCTATGGGGATCCAGTCCCAAACCAAAATATCAGACTATAACCTGATCTGTTTGTGAAAATTAGAGTTTTATTAGAACACAAAGCTATTGTTTCATGTACCTACTGTTATTCAGTAACTTCAGAGACCACAAAGTCTGTAATTCTTACAGTACAGGAGGCTGACTGCTCAGCCCAGCAATCCTGTTCATGGTGATGATTTCTTAAGATTAGGAACACAAACTTGTGAGGTCTTAAGACAAGCATGGTGCACACCTTTCATCTCAGTACCTGGAAGGCAGAGGCAGGTTGATGCCTGTGAATTTGAAGTCAGCCAGGTCTACATAGACAGTTCTAGGCCAGCTAGGGTGGCACAGTGGGAGACTCTCAAATAAAACACAGCCCACATTTCTTCGGTATCAGTATTTAATTGGTGTTGGGAGCTGTGAACCTCCAGATCCTGAATTTCTTGTAAACAACTTGTTTTCCCCTGATCTGAATGCCTACAGCTGCTCTGAGCACGAGACCCTCAGGCGTTCCTGATGGCAGGGGAGTGATTTCCGGTGCGTTTGGCTGGGACGTGGCTATCCCTATATAAGCTGCCCATGAACACAATAAAGGGGGCATTCTTGGGGCATTTTGGTATCAAGGATGACCCGTGTCTCTGTTTGTGAGTCTTTGTGTGTTTCAATCTCCAGTCCCTTGCCCGGCTCACGAACTGTATGGTGGCGCATAGAGCGCAGACAGGCGTCGTGTGCTGCAAATTGGCTTTTTATAGGCTCTCAAATGACATTTGTCTTAGCCGGGCGGTGGTAGCGCACGCCTTTAATCCCAGCACTCTGGAGGCAGAGGCAGGCGAATCTTTGTGAGTTCGAGGCCAGCCTGGTCTACAAGAGCTAGTTCCAGGACAGGCACCAAAAACAACAGAGAAACCCTGTCTCGAAAAATAAAAATTAAAAAAAAAAAGGCATTTGTCTTTTGAAAGATACATACATGTGGTCTTCTGTGCACACACAGGCACACTTACAAACAGATTCTATAGAAGGTTGTCTTTTCTCACAATAGCCTTCCGTGTTGATTTACTTGTTCTGTCTGGTGGCCATGCTGCTTTGCACACGAGCCAGTCTTGACGAAGTCCTCCTTTTCTCTCTCTGCCCCTAGAGGAAGATCGATGCAAACTCTACTGCAAGGCTGAAAACTTTGAATTTTTTTTCGCCATGTCTGGCAAGGTGAAAGATGGGACCCCCTGCTCCCCACACAGACACGATGTCTGCATCGACGGGATTTGTGAAGTAAGAGGACATTTCCACCCCCCTGGGTGGGCAGTCAGGCCTTGTCTCCTCGTGTCCTGTGAGGAGGGTTGAGAGAGTCCCTGTAATACACTTTGGGAAGAGGGACAAAGTGTCCAGCTGAGATGTGCATCTCTGAGTCCTCTTTCAAACGGCCCCTTCGTTTTCTGTTTCAGCTGCTTCCCAGAATAGAGAACGGTGTGCGGTGGCAGCCACTTTTGCGTCACTATAAAAACTGATGGGAGTGATGCTGATGCCTTAGGACCACCTTACTCAGCGCATTCACCACACATTAGCGCCTCCGGCCATGCATGGGAACAGAGCTGTCTCTTTCCAGACTCACTTTCCCTTGCATTTAAACTTTACTATGAACACTTCATTCTTTTCCAGGGTGTGTGTGTATAAGAGAGAGAGAGAGAGAGAGGTGTTTATATGTGTATGTGTGTTTGTGTGTACATGTGTGCCTGTGTTTATTTGTATGCATATGGGTACTTTGTGTGTGTGTATATGTGTGTGTATGAATGTCTTTGTGAATATGTGTGCACATGTGTAGGTGCATGTGTAACACAAATAATAAAAAACTCAGAAAGAGATACTGGGGTTCTAGCTGAAGATCAGAGAAGCAAAGCAGCCAGCCTCTAGAGAGATCTGACCTCTATTAAGACTCAGACAAACAAAGAGGCGATCCTGCAATGTTCTCCACTAATCTCAGACTCCATCCCCTATGAGTTGCTGTGTCTTTCACTTTATATTCCTCTCTCCACCCAGCCATATTGCTGCTGTCTTTACCTTCCTAGTGCTGGGATTAAAGGTATGAACCACCACCACCTGGATTTGTTTCTGGATCGATCATGTACAGCCCAGGGTAGCCTTGAACTCACAGAGATCCAGCTATCTCTGTCTCCTGAGTCCTGGGATTAAAGGTGTGAGCCGCCACTCCCTGGCCTGTATGGCTGACTAGTGTGGCTGCTTTTCCCTTTGATCTTTATGCAAGCTTTATCTAATAAAACACAAATAATATACTGCTATGTACATGCCTGTGCATGTTTGTGTGTATATGTGTATACGTACATGTGTATGCATACATGTATGTGTATGAGAGGAGTCTGAATGTATACTACTTAGCATTTTTATGCTCCATTCATACAGTTGGCCTATCTGGTAATTGCCCATGACTCTTCATTTTAGCTTCACAGAGGTGGAGTCTAAGCCTTTGGTCAGTTGTGTAATTTGATCAGCTCTGCATTTGCTTGAAGAGGGAGAGTCACTTTTCTTAGGAGGGAAGTTGGCCACCAGTAGATTGCCCAGTGTCCCGGTGGTTGACCCCCACACCTGTGTGCACATAACCAGCACTCACTGGAATCAGTTGATTAAAACAATAATAATATAAACAGGAAGAAGGCTTAAAATTAGCAGGGAGATATATGGGGGACTTCCAGAAGAACTGGGGGGTGGTAGGAATATAGATGATCAAAATACAGTGTACACATAAATGAAGTTTTTCAAAGAATAAATGAAGTATTATTTACAAAGGATAGCAGAGCAAAACTTTGAACCCTGGTCTGCCATAAGGCTCCAGCGATCCCCTTAGCAGAGCTGCCTGCCTCCTGTTGGTCTTCACCACTGGCTTTGCTCATCTTTGATTTCTTCCCGGCCTTTGTCCATCACAGCCTGTGGGATGCGATCATGAACTTGGCTCCAAGGCAGTTTCAGACGCATGTGGCGTTTGCAAAGGTGATAATTCGACGTGCAAGTTCTACAAAGGCCTGTACCTCAGTCAGCACAAAGCAAATGGTAAGAGCTGCTTCTGCTCCCCTTGTAGCTGCTGGCAATGCCCCCCTCCTGCCTCTGAATGGGGCGGGGACTGTGCTAAGGTAATCCTAGCTCACCTGGCACCAGGGATATCTTTTGTCACACGGCAAGGTTCTTAGGGTGAGTGGTTTCATCTGTGCATTGTACCTCAAAAGCGTGTTAAGTGCACCACAAAATGGCTCAACAGAGAAAGGCACTGTCATGTCACCCAGCCGGATGACCTGAGTTCCATCCCCAGAACCCAAGGAGGAAGGGGAGATCTGGTTCCCAAAAGTTACCCTCACTTCCTCATACATGCTGTGGCACACAGGTACATACAAACACGTGCACACACACACACACACTAAATTCTCAAAACAACAAAAAAAATTAAATTATTGATCTTCTCACTTTATAAAATCGGGGTGAATAGTCTCAAAGGCCCATTAATGGGCATTGCATGCCTCTGGGTATTTCTAGCCATCGTTCATTCTCCAATCTCCAGCGTTAAACTCAGAAATATTCTTCCCTTTCCATTCAGAATATTATCCTGTGGTCACCATCCCAGCAGGGGCCCGAAGCATCGAGGTCCAGGAGCTGCAGCTTTCTTCCAGCTATCTTGCTGTTCGAAGCCTCAGTCAGAAATATTACCTCACAGGGGGCTGGAACATCGACTGGCCTGGCGACTTCACCTTCGCAGGGACCACGTTTGAATATCAGCGTTCCTTTAACCGCCCCGAACGCCTGTTTGCGCCAGGACCCACCAATGAGACGCTGGTCATTGAAGTAAGCTTGATTCTGAGGCTGGTGCCTCTTGTGGCATTGACAGCAATGGCTACAACTTGAGCAAACTCAGAGGACTCCCTTTCAGCTCCCTTCCTAACAGGAGACCTCTCTGAGTGCAGGGAGGAAAGGGCAGTTAGCAACTCTCTTTTGAGGAACTGGAGGCAGGAATCTGATGTGCCTGCAAGAGGTTTCTGTATTTAAATAGCAATTTTCTACTGCTGCACTTGCTTGGGAGAGCCCAGGAAGACAAAGGTCATCCTCACTATGACACTCTATGCTGTGGCTGCCATTCGGCGAGTCCGTTGTAGCTATTCCCAGTCTCCATCTGCTGGACCAGGAGGAGGCTTTTCAGTCGAGAAAATGCTGGCTGAGTATCAGCAGGAGTTTAGTCATAACTTTGTAGGTTGTAGCTTCCCCAGAGATTAAAAAGAAAGAAAAACATATGAATGGGCAGTGGAAGCAGTAAGCGCAGCCAGCATCTCTCTAAACACGTGTGCAAGACTGTTACCATGTGCACGTTTCCCGAGTCCTCTGGGTCTGCTCTCTTCCTGAGATCGTTTGCTCTCGAAGGACCTGTGATTTATTCCACAATGTGTATAAGTGACGGCGTTCGCTATTTAACAAACACCCACATAACCACGTGTTCTTGTTGGTCGTTTTGTATTCTTTTTTTTTTTTAACCTGCACAATTAGAGCAGAAAGGTTGCTGTCATTCAGATTTCTGTTACTGTCACAGAATACCTGAAGTAATCAACTGAAGTGCACGCGCGCGCGTGCGCGCACACACACACACACACACACACACACACACACACACACAACCCTGTGTTTTGATTTGGAGACTTGAAAAGTTCCAGGCTGTGCTCTGTTGGCCCTATTGCTATTGCTGTGTCCAAGGTAGCATCAGGAGTATTTTGTGGATAAAGATGGCAGCCAGGAGTGAAAGAGAAAGAAGGGTGGGGTCAGAAAATCCTACCAAGAATTTTTCACCCCTAGTGACTTAAGGTTCTCTGACTATGGTCCGCCATTTAAAGGTTTTACACACATCACCACCCCCACTACTACCACCACCATCATCACTACCATCACCACCTCCAGCACCACCATCACCACTACCACCATCACCACCTCCACCACCACCATCACCACCTCCACCACCACCATCACCACCTCCACCACCACCATCACCACCTCCACCACCACCATCACTACCTCTACCACAACCATCACCACCTCCACCACCACCATTACCACCATCACCATCTCCACCCCCACCACCCAGCAGTGTCACAGGCTAGGGACCAAGTCTCTAACACACAGCATTTTCCGTCTTTGACTTAACATAAAGATAGGGGCTCAAGCATGAACAATTAATAGCTTCCACAACCCACAAAGCCAGGAGAAAGCAGAAGCAAACAAGCTGAAATCCACATCTTCTCCACCCAGGAGCATGAACTCTTTCCTGCAGCCCAGGTATGCAGGCATGCTGCTCGTCTTGGCTCAAACAAAAGAGGCCTATTATCTGATGGAGCTGCCTCTAGTACTATTGTTAAGTCTGCTGTGGACTTGGTCTCCTGTGGTTAGGCACCGTGCTCATCTTCTCTGTGCTTTGGATTCTCTTTTGGCTTTTGGGGGAGAAGATGTATGTGTGTGGGGTGGTGCTTGTTAATGTAGGTGTCTGCACATGACACTTGTGAGAGCATTCATAAAGTGGCCACAGGTCAACCTCAAGTGTTGTTCCTTGAGTGTCACCATCTTGTTTTTGAGACAGGGTCTCTGTCTGGCCTGTGATTTGTGAAGTACATTAGGTTGGACAGCCAGCAGGCTCCAAGGATCCACCTGTCTGCCGCCCCCAACTCAGCATCACAAGTCTGTGGCAACATGCCCAGTTTTGTTCATGTAGGCTCTGGGGATTGAACTCATGTCTTCATGCTTGCCTGGCAAACACTTTACTGACTGATCTACCTCCATAGCCCTTCGTGCTCTGGTTTCTTGAATGTCCACAGCACCCCATGAGGTAGGAAGGGTTTTGAACCCCCTTTACAGATGAGGACACCGAGCCTCCCAGAACATCTGACCAAAGCGGCAGGACTGAGAACGGACCTTGGGTCTTTCCAAGTCTGCCTCACATGAAGCTACCTGACATCATAGATACTTGAAAGGCCCAGGCACTTGTGCAGTAAAGTTTTCTCAAGGCAAAACTGCACCAGTTGATCTAGAAGGTTCAGAAGCTCTGGAGAGGTGGGAAGCTGTGTGAGCAGGTAGCTGAGCTGCTCAGACACAGTTACTACCCGGATTATTTTTTAAACATTTTTGTTCTGAGAATCAAAGTCAGGGTCTTGCATATGTATACCAGGAGTGCTCTTTACCTCTGAGCCACAGCCGTGGTCCCCTGTTCACGCCTGAATCCACAAGATCACTGGAATACACCCAGCAGGCATAAACCAGTGGCAACTAGAATATCACTATGAAAGCTGAATATTAAGGCCGGTACCAGGAGCTTGACTGATGATTTGTGCCTGAGACTCCTTATTTCATTCTCTCTGCCTGATGAGTGTTTAAGCTATCCACATTCCCTGTATCCTCGCATGCTTAGGAAGCATCCCTACCCTTGCTCCTACAGGCTCAGAATACCGCGTTCCCCATCCTCTTGGGGGTACTTTGGTCAAATTTATGACTGACAAAGTTATTTCCACAGGCAGATTCTTCCTCTGTATAAACTGAAGCTGCCCGTTCATTTTCCTCATTCCTGGCTCAGCTGGACTAGATCATCCTGCTGTAATGTGGGTGGTGTCCGTGTGCAGCTTCTGATGGCCCCGTGATGAAAGAAAGCAGTGAGAATGGATTCCCGTTGCCCTGTGTGGGAGTTTGCATGCCACGTGTGATGAGTTGTTCGGAGTGAATTTACATGACATCTTGATGTTTCCCTAATGGATTCTTAGACTCACCAGAACTGTAGAGGGCTGAGCAGTGGAAATACCCACTGTACAAAGCGGCTGCTAAGTTCCGCTGTTTTCCATGCCCGGAGCATCTGCTTGACTGTAAACTAGATGCAGGTATATAGCTGGGGATGAAATAATTAAAAAAAAAGATGAAGAGAAAGGAAAGGAGGGAGGGAGGGAGAGAGAAGGAGGGGGGAAGGAAGGAAGGAAAGAAAAAGAAAATAAAAAAGAAAAGAACCAGAAATCCTCTCTGGTATTATAAAACTTAGCATACTGGAAAGTATAGAGTAATATTATACTAACACATCAATGAACACAGACTTTGCAAAATCCCTGAAGGAAAATAAATCTCAAGGAAGCAAACAGAGGCTGTCTCTGGATTTAGAGGCTGGTAGAGAAGAGGCATCTAACGTGGTAACTGAAGCACGCGATGGACCAACCAAATGAAGTGTGCGGCAACTTCAGGACAGGAAGCGTTAAGAATGAACTTAGTATTTCAAACTGAGAAGTTGTTTTTTAAGTCCCATCTAGCCAGAATGTGGTTGGAAAAGAATGTCCTGAGATGGATGTGTTCAAAACTGACTCCGGGCGCTATGTAGAAACACGATTTGAGGGGCACAAGGTGAACGAAGGGACAAAGGAAATGGGTTCATCTCCAATTCCAAATAAGAGGTCTAAAACCTGAAATGGAGATGATGAACACGGAGGAAGTGGACCTACCGTAAAATCTTAGCGATTTAGATAGGAAGTGAGAAGGAAGGTTCTACAGATACATGGAATACGGACTTCAAGGGAAGATGTAATATTGAGGATAAACCTCAGCTCCTTCCTTGATCCTTTGGCAGGTGTTTTTACTACTGTAGCTCTCTTGATGATAGCTTGAGGTGGGACTAGGGATGTGGAGGTCCTTCCTTTTTAGCCACTTGTTATTCAAGATACATCTTCAGTATTGAAGAAGCAGCTATGAGCAGGCAGTGGGGTGGGCAGCCAAACAGTACTGGACTGAATGTGTATCAGATCCTGCCAGCCCCTGAAGTGATGCCTTAATGCAGGTTAACAAATCCCAGGGTAGGGTCCCCAGTTTCCTCTGGTGGGCCACCAATCGGGAGTAGCTAAGTCATTGTCCTATCAAGACTGTGTTTCGCATCGGCACAATTGGACTGTAGCTGACACCACCACTGATTGGCTGGCCTGAAAGGTGTCCCCGGATTTCGTGTGCAAGTCCTCTCCTGTCGCTGCCCTGGAACCCTGTCCTGCGCTTTTGCTCTGTACCTGCCCAGACAGGGGGCTGATGATTTCCTTAGTCACAATAGGGATGGCAGTCTAGCTCTTCTTCCTCTGGCTGCATCCAGTTGGTGTGGTGTTTCGGGGTTTTTGCTTTTTGCTTTTGTTTTGTTTGTTGTTGTTGGTTTTTTTTTGTTTTTCTTTTTTTGCCTTTTTGCCTGGATTCTAAGATATTTAAAATCTGTGCATGAATCCCACACTCAAAATCTCTCCATGTTCACTTTGGAGTAGAGTATCCTTTCCAAATCCTTTGGTGTCTGCAGCAACCAGGGAATACTGCTTGTCAAGTGTCAGTTTCAGAATTTCAAGACCATGTGCTCGGTTTGGGTTTCAGAATCACAGCCTTCCCTACAGTTCTCAAAGTCTGTGTGTCTCTCCTGGGGACCGTTTTGTAACATGAGGGGGCCCTGCTGTTTGTGTTTTCTGTCCTGCTCGGTTCCCCACAACCAGCAGGCCCCAGAGAAAATCAACCACACAGAGATTTCTATAAGTTATCGCCATCTGTAACATGAAGGGCTGGCTTGTTTGGGGGTTTTTCTGTCCTCCCACCAGGTCCCCACAATTATTTAGTCCCTGAGAAAAATCACACTGAGATCTCTATAAGTTATAAAGCTGATTGGCCCATTAGGTCAGGCTACTTATTAGCTAACTCTTACATCTTGATTAACCCATTTTTCTGATCTATTTTAGCCATGTGGCTCAGTACCTTTTTCAGTGGGGCAGCTCACATCCTGCTGCTTCGGTGATCTGGGCAGGAGTGGGAGAAATCAACTT